CTTCTCCCTCTCCCACTCCCCCTGCTTGTGTTCCCTCTCTCGCTGTGTCTCTCTCTGTCAAATAAAATCTTTAAAAAAAAAAAAAAAGGATAACTAGAGAAAGGAAGGAGAAGGGAGTATGGGTTAATGAGAAAGACGTGAAGATCACAGAGATGTGAATACTCCCTTGCTTACCTGTGTAGTCTGTTCTCTAACATACAGTTGTATTCCTAAGAAACTTTGAATTCTCAAAAATCATGTTACTATGTAATACCTATTACTTTGATATGGATAAAAAGGATCAATGACTAAAAAATAGCAATCTTAATTTTTCTATGGCAATTTTGATAATAAAGAAAAATTTTTTTAAGATTTTATTTATGTGAGAGAGAGAGAGAGAGAGCATGAGAGGGGGGAGGATCAGAGGGAGAAGCAGACTCCCTGCTGAGCAGGGAGCCCGATGCGAGACTTGATCCTGGGACTTGAGGATCATGACCTGAGCCGAAGGCAGTCGTCCAACCAACCGAGCCACCCAGGCATCCGATAATAAAGAAATTTTAATCACTAGTTAAGATGTAAACAGTATATAAACCTAAACAGTTGTTATGGCGTAGTGGTTAAAGCCTTGGCTCTGGAGTCAGTGAGTCAGTAGAGACGCTTTTAATTTCAAATAACAGAAGGTCGTCTGACAGTGGGTTAAATAAATCGGGTCCCTCCCGCCCCTTGCCTCCTCCTCAAGAAAACTAGAGTTAGGCAGCTTCTGGTGAAAGCTGAGTGGCTTATAGTTGGTTGTCTCTGAGATTCTCTTGATTTTTTTCTTCATGGTTACGCAGTGGTAGCATTTTGTTTTGGAGAGCAGAACTTATCTCTGCTTACATCTCAGCATTTGTCCTTTGGCTGGAAGGTGACTAGGAAGAACTGGGTTGAAAATGGTGGTTGGGTCAGCCAACCAACAATATTAGCGGTCAGACTGACTGATATTTAATGTCACGTCTGCCACTGATTAGCATTGTAATGGTGGTCAAGTTAATTAGCCTTTCTAAGCCAAAATTTCTTCATCTGTATGATGAGGATAAAGAGGATAATTATTATTAAAATACTACTCCTATTTCTTACTCCTACTAAAATGAGAGAATGAATATAAAAATCCAAGCAATGTACCAGACAAGGGAGTTAGTGCTTACAAAATATTCACTCTGATTTTATCATCATCATCATCATCATCATCATCATCATCTTTCATGTCAACATCAGCTTCATTCTTTTTTTGAGGTAAAAGTCACATAACATAAAATTGACCATTTTAAAATGTGCAAGTCAGTGGCATTTGATACATTCACGGTGTTGTGCAACTATCGGTCTAGTTCCAAAATATTTTTAATCACTCCATAAGGACCTGTGGTACCCATTAAGTAGTCTCTCCTTTTCTCCTTAACACAGCTTCTGGTAATTACTAATCTGCTTTCTACCTCTATGGATTTACCTGTTCTGGATATTTCGTATAAATGGAATCATTCAGTACATAACCTGTTATGTCTGACTTCTTTCGCTTAGCATGTTTTTGAGGTTCGTCCATGTCATAGCATGTATCAGTACTCCATTCCTTTTTATGGCTGAATAGTATTCCATTTTATAGAATTACTTCATTTTGTTCTTCATTTATTAGTTGATAGACATTTGGGTTGTTTCTACCTTTTGACCATTGTGAGTAGCGCTGCTCTGAACATTTGTTTACAAGTGTTTGTTTGAATACCTTTTTTCACTTCTTGTGAGTATATATGTAGGAGTAGAACTTTTGGGTCATGTAGTAATTCTATGTTTAACTTTTTGAGGAACTGCCAAGCTATGTTCTATATCATCTGTACCATTTTCATTCCCACTAGCAATGTCTGAGAGAGTTCCAGTTTCTGTACATCCTTGTCAAGACTTGTTATTTTCTGTTTGTTTGTTTTTCATTATAGCCATCCTAGTGTGGATGTGAAGTTATATTTCATTGTGATTTTTATTTGCATTTCCCTAATGATTAGTGATACATCTTTTCATGTGCCTGTTGACCATTTGTTTATTTTCCTTGGAGAGAGGACTATTGAGGTCCTTTGCCGTTTTTAAATTAGCTTGTCTTTTTTGTTGTTTAGTTGTAAGAATTTTTTATATTTTCTAGATACTAATCCCTTATTAGGTTTATTATTTGCAAATATTTTCTCCCGTTAATTTTCTCTGCATGTTATGAAGTAGGGCCAACCATCAATTTTATTTTTATCCTACTTTTGTAGGATATTGTATTACCCATTATTAGCATGAAGCCACTGCAACAAAGTATCTGAATCATTTTTCTGAATAGCTTTTTCTCTGTATACTCAACCAGTAGTAATTTCCTTCTTGATTTTTATAATTGAAGTAATCTATATAATGTAAAATGTGTTCCCTAATTAACTGACACGATTTTATCCAGTGTGTAACAGGAAATCTTGAGCTGCATTAGACATATCTATAGTAGGTCCAGGTTTTTTAATTTATAAAATTGGCAGGGCTGGTTAGTAAATCTCTAAGTTTGTTTTTAAGTTTAAAATTTCATCACTGATTTTGAACATTGAATTTGCTATCAGAGTGTAGTTGATGAGAATATGTGATTGCTGCTTTTGCAGTCTAATCTTGTTTTATTTGGTAGCTCATAGTCTGTTCATGTCTTTTATTGAATGGCATACCTTCATTAGAAGTTAACTTACTAGTCCTTTTCTCCCCCTTCATCTACAGTTCAGGATGATGTAGTTTGGCAAAAAGTGGTGGTGGTATGGAAGCCTGTACAGGGCTGTGTCATACTGTTCTTTAGCATTAAAAACACAGTGTACCAGTGTAGGATGGATAGGACGGATCTTAGGCGTTCTTCAGCTAACTGTCCAAAGTTTTAACTTAAAGTTGTTTAACTCTTTGTTCTCAACAAAGGATATAATTTGTTTTTTTCTTTTTTTAGTACTTGATTCTGAAACTTGAAAGGCCTGCTATAGTCCAGAACATCACATTTGGAAAATATGAGAAAACTCATGTCTGCAATTTGAAGAAATTTAAAGTCTTTGGTGGAATGAATGAAGAAAATATGACAGAGCTATTGTCCAGGTGAGTTATGATTATGGGGAAGAAGGAGTTGTCTTCTAAACAAGCTGCAATCTTAGTTTTATCTCTTTGTGGCTAAATCTGCACGGTTTGATCTTTCTTTCAAGGGAGAAAAGAATATTTCTACTATTGTATTTCTAGTGCCTTATTTTAATATGGTGACTTGAGTTAGCCTTTTTTTTAACCACCAGCCACAACTTAATATTGTTACTAAAGAAGAAAATAAAACTTGGGTGTTTTTTTTCCCTACTTATTTTTCGATCTTATTTTTGAACTGTAAATGACCACAGAAATATTTTCAGCTTCAATAAAAATCTTTGCTTTAAAATTATGAGATTTGGGGAGTCTGGGTGGCTCAGTCAGTTAAGCGTCTGCCTTTGGCTCAGGGCATGATCCCAGGGTCCTGGGATCGAATTACGCATTAGGCTCCTTGCCCAGTGGGGAGCCTGCTTCTCCCTCTGCCTGCCGCTCCCCCTGTTTGTGCTCTGTCTCTCTCTCTGACAATTAAATAAATAAAATCTTAAAAAATATATGTACAGACTCTATCTAAAACATTAAGATTGTTTGCCCTAATCCAGAAACAGTATTTTGGGAATTTAGTATAAATTGGAGGCTAAAAAGAGAAAGAGTATGTGACTGTATCTACCACAGTGCCTGCCACTTGGAAGGAGCTTAGTAAATTTGAGTTTTAAAGACATAGACCATGAGGAATGAAAGTGTTAATTTGCCCCCTAGATAATGAAAAATCAGACAGCCAGTAGAAGGGACAAATAAAGCCACAGTGTTTTAGAATATATTTGTGATATAATATGTCCCATTAGCACGGTATTTGATATAAGTAAATATTACATCTGTACTGCGTGTAAGTCATGAAAGTATTTTAGGACATAAGGCAACCTGAAGGTAAGTGATTTTCCCATAAATACTTGTGTTTCAATCCTGTTTGTGTAGAAAGGTGATAAGGGTTTATTTTTATGTAGGATGAAGTGGGTGCTATTAAACCAATGGAGTAAGAGTGTCTTTGAAAATTTATTGAGCTCTAAAAGGAACATTATTAACATCTTAATCAGAATTTTTAAGAACTTAATCGTTTCACAGACTTTAGTATTTGGCTCTAAGTTGTCAGATATGTACATGAATTATTTTTAATTTTTTTCTTACTGCATACATATTTTATGTTATATTCCGTTCTACTCTGAGGACACTAGGTCCTATCACACATTTCCATGCACTGTAGCCACATCTTTTTATTAACACTGATCATTTTTCATTAGGCCTCATATAATTAAGAGAACACAGTTATGATACAGTTGATATGAATATACAAGTTTTGACCTATATTCTCATGTTTGACTACTACTTATTTTTTTTAAAGCTTATTTATTTATTTATTTGTCAGAGCACAAACAGGGAGAATGGCAGGCAGAGGGAGAAACAGGCTCCCCACTGAGCAAGGAGCCCGATATGGGACTCGATCCCAGGACCCTGGGATCATGACCTGAGCCGAAGGCAGACCCTTAACCAACTGAGCCTCCCAGGCTTCCCTTCGACTACTTCTTTACATTTTCTTGGTCGTGTATTTTGTTTAACCTTAAGATCTGAGTATGATTTATGTTTAATGTGTTTACTAAATTATAAAGTCAGATTTGATAACCTATTTTTTTTCACAGTGGCTTAAAGAATGATTATAACAAAGAAACATTCACCTTGAAGCATAAAATTGATGAACAGATGTTCCCTTGTCGATTCATTAAAATAGGTAAGGTTTTTAGCATTCTGAAATGAAATAAATTCCTTATACCATCAGTCAACAAACTACAGTCTCTGGGCTGAATCCTTCAGAACTCCTGTTTCTTAAAATAAGATTTTATGGGAACACTGCCACACTGGTTATTCACTGGTTGTAATGTCTGTCTTGCATTTGCTCTACAAAGTAGTTGCAAGAGACAGGATGTTTACTGTTTGGCCCTTTGCAGCAAAAGTTTTCTTTTCCCTGCTTTATAAATCTATAACTAAGTGACAGTTATTTCAGGTAGAACATTTTCTAAGTATTTTTTCATTTGAACGTTTTCTTGGAAGGTTTAATGAGGTAAGTGACTTAGTTCAGCTTTGATTGTTTTATGGAAGGTTTATCAAGTTACTGTAAAGCTATAATATTCTAAAACTAAATACTGATGAATTCCTTAAGGCAGTATATTATGGTTACTTTCTGTTTTTTTTTTAACCCTCCCCCCATTCTGTTTTATGTCTTTTTTTGTGTGTGTGTGTGAAATGTTCATCAAACCTGTTAAACTAATTTTGTGTCCTTTGGTGCAAGTAATGTTTGAAAAATACTACCTAAGGCATGTATTTATTTAGCAAGTGTTTAGCTTAAGACGATATTTGTAATGCCTCCTCAACATCAGTATTTTTAGAGTTATTTTGCTTTTCTTTAGGATTTATTTCTTTTTTTAAGGTAGAAAAGTGAGGACTTGAATCTTTCAATTTGCAGTCTGCATCTATGTTACATAACTGAAAATACTATGTTAAAATTAAAGTGAATCAGATCCTTCAAAGAATATTAATAAAAGCCAGAATCCCATGTTTTGATTTGGGAGAAAAATTCCTCTTTTGGAACAAGCAGTGTACTTCATAGTCATTTTTTGCCAACCTATCAAGAGGTGGCCAGTTCATTTCATTGAATCAGATAGTTCTGTTGGGCAAAAAGAATATCTAAGGTCTTAATAAAGATTACTATAGAGGAAAAACTACTTTTACAATAGTTGGGCTCTCCAGTGTGTTACTTTCTTTTATGACTATAGTTTCTGTTGTTACAATAAATAATTGTAAATAAAAACCTGTTTCCTGTTTTTCTATGAGAATTTATGAACAAGCAAATTTTTTGACTAAGTTTAACTCTTGTTGTTTTTTTTTTGTACTGAGTACTTCTTTCCTCATTATGCAGGCCACCAAGTTCCTATAGACCCTAGCATAGTTTTAATAGTTCTACGTTCACATCTTTCAAATGTACAAGCAGTGAAACGTCTTATGTTTTCCTATAATAGATTTAGGTTATATTAAATTTTAAAGTACTTATTCAACTTCTGTTTTACTTCATCATGCAAAATGAAATTTCTCTTTCTCTTTTTATGTTCAGAATCTTATTTGTGCTTTTTTGCACAGTACCTACAGTCGTTGGTTTACTTTGAAGGAAACTGCCTACTGCTACTGCTTCTATAGTTCTCAGTCTTCTAGTATTATTTGTTAGAAGAAGTATGAATAAATGTCTGTTTAGGGAAGTTGCAGAGTTTTCTTCCCTTAAAAATTTATAAAACAGAGGTCTCCTCTGGACCAGTTAGACATTCAGCTGCTCAAAGATAAGAAATTGGACCTCTTTCCAGCCCTGTCAGCCTTTGATTACAGGGCATAATGGGATGTCTTTTACTTAGCCCTGGGTTAGTTTTATGGTATTCAGGCAAAATGTTAATTGGAGCTTTTCAAATAATTGTAGATACTTATTAACTCATTGATACTTAGGATATTAATATTTAGATAACTTCATGTTTCTTTTCTGTTAGAAGATGTTAATAGTGGTCTACTGTGTGCTTGCTTTCTAATCTTCTCAACATTCTCTTGATAAATTTTCTTCGAAAATAATATAAAGTGAAAATGTGAAACTCAAAGCCTTTATGTTAGGTTAGTATTTTTATTTTATCACCATGTTTTCTTTAAAAAAAATCATTCTGAAAAAGCACTTGAGTGATATGTGGCGCTCTTGTGGTAATTTAGCAGGTATTTGTTTCGTGCTTAGGATAAATTGTTAGAATGACTTGGATTTCTGTGGATTTTTCTGATTTTTGCAGACTGGGTGGTTGTGAGGGCTTTAGGGAGAAGCTTCAGCTCTGGCTAGATTTGGCCTGCATTCTGGATCCTCAGAAGTTTTTAGAAGTCTAGAATGAGTACTAAGTCTGGGAGGGGTGCCCTGATGGTAGCCCTTTATGAAAGCAGGTGGAAAGGTGACATCCTACGTACCGTAAACTCCTCTGAATCCTTAGGTTTTTGGATTCACTCTTCTGTTTCAATAATTTACCTTCTCTTTCCCTCAGTAGTATCAAACTTATAATTACTGTATATTTTTAGTATGTTTATTTTCTTTTGGATATTCTTGTGTTACTGATGTTTTTAAAAATCAGCTTGTTCAATTATATGTAAAGAGAAAAATGGATATGGGGCACCTGGCTGGCTCAGTTGGTGGAGTATGTGACTTGATCTTGGGGTTGTGAGTTGAGCCCCACGTTGGATGTAGAGATTACTTAAAAAATAAAATCTTAAAAAAAAAAAATTGGATATATACCACTGAGCCTTTGATTGAGATTACATTAAATTTATAATTAACTTGAGGGGAACTGGCATGTTTACAACATTGAGTTTTCCCATTTAAGAACATAGTATGTCCTTTCATTTATTCAATTCTTAATTAACATTTTATATTTTCTGCAATAGCTCCTGCCTATATTAAAGTTTATTCTGAGATACTGTAAGCTCTTGTGACCTTTTTAAAGGGGACTTTTTCATTAAATTTTCTAGTTAGTTATTACAGGTAGAGGGAAAACTGATTTTCATGTTTACCTTGCATACAATCTTAAGTTTTTCAGTTGACTCTCTTGAATTTTTTATGAAGATAGCTATATCATCTTCAAGTGATACTGTTTTTTCTTAATTTGCTTTTTTTTTCCTCTCTCTCTTACTGCATTGGCTAAGATCTCCCATATAGTGTTGAATAATAGAGATAATTGGGCTTCTTTGTCTTGTTCCTGACTTGAGCAGCAATACTTAATGTTTCTCCATTAGGTTTAATTTTTGAGGTCTTTGATATTTAACAAAAAATTTAGGTAAGGTAGTTTTCTTTTGTCTTCTATTTCTTACATATTAAGAGGGGTTTTTTTCTTCTAATGAGTAGAAAATAAATTTTATTAATTTACTCTTAGCACCACTTAACCACTTGAAGTTATCAGACACATTTTTTACTTTGTTAACATGGTGAATTACACTAATAGAGCTTCTATTATTGAACCATCCTTCCATTCCTGGAATGAACTCTATTTGGTTATAGTGAAAACCTGGTAGAATTTTTTTGCAACTTTAAAAAAAAATTTTCAATATATACTTATAGCTGAGATCAGCCTTAAATTCTTTTTCTTCTGAGTTTATTTTCAGGGTTATACCACTTGTTATGTAATTGAACTTTTGCTCTCTTTTTGTGCTCTGATACAGTTTAATTTATATAGTAATTATTTGTTTCTTGTGGGTTTGATAAAATTTTTTTTTTTTTAAAGATTTTATTTATTTATTTGACAGAGAAAGACACAGCGAGAGAGGGAACACAAACGGGGAGTGGGAGAGGGAGAAGCAGACTCCCTGCCGAGCAGGGAGCCCGATGCGGGACTCGATCCCGGGACTCCAGGATCATGACCTGAGCCGAAGGCAGTCGCTTAACCGACTGAGCCACCCAGGCGCCCGGGTTTGATAAAATTTGACTGCTAAATCATCTAGTCCTGGTCCTGTTTTTAGAGGGGTAGATAAATAAGCACTTTGAATTTATTTTATAGTGTTTTTTTTTAAAGATTTTATTTATTTACTTGACAGAGAGAGACACAGCGAGAAAGAGAACACAAGCAGGGGGAGTGGGAGAGGGAGAAACAGGCTTCCCGATGAGCAGGGAGCCTGATGTGGGGCTCGATTCCAGGACCTTGGGATCATGACCCGAGCCGAAGGCAGACACTCAACAACTGAGCCACCCAGGCGTCCCTATTTTATAGTGTTTTTATAAATTACACCCCTTGATGGCATGGATCATATTTTCTTTTTTTTCTTACTGTAACCCCAGCACCTAATAATACAGTGTTAGGCTTATAGAAAATGTTCTGAAAATTTATTGAATGAATTTAAATGGGCATGAATAGTGATTTTACTCTGCTAAACTTTTATTTGAACTATGTTAATTTTTTTTCTTTTTCTTTCTTTCTTTCTTTTCTCCACAAAGTTCCACTCTTATCCTGGGGACCCAGCTTTAACTTTAGCATCTGGTACGTTGAACTTAGTGGCATTGATGATCCTGATGTAGTACAACCCTGTCTCAACTGGTATAGCAAGGTAGGACTGTATTTTAAAATCCTGATTTTATGTTTCTGATACCTATAAAGGGAGCAATGTGTAAAGCTTTTGTCTTCATTGAGAATAATTTAAAATACTGAGAATAGTAATAACTGTAATGATTAATCAGCTAACATTTATTTACATTCTGCCAGCTGCTAAGCAATCTTTATAACTTATTTAATCATTACCACTCTATGAGATAGGTAGTTATTATCCCTCTTTTACAGATGATGAAATGGAGCACCGAGACTTTGAGGATCTTGCTTGGTCCACACAGTTCACAGTTGTAAAGTGCCCACACCAGCATATAAACTCAGGCAGTCTAGCTCCAGAGTCTGCCATTATATGTATTATTAAACCTATCTGATCCTGAATTTTGTTTTCAACCAATATTGATAGAAATATTTAAACACAGTTTTTAGTGGGGTAGTGTTGATTCTGTGCTGCTTTGTTTTTTTTTTAAGATTTTTTTCTATTTCATAAATTTTCTCCTACTGTATATCTATATGCAGCCTGATAGAAAACTTACAATATAGATATGATTCAGACTCCTAAAGTCAACATGATAAAAAGGTATTGCTGTTAAATATGATTCCAGATAGTTATGATAAATCTTTATTTAGAAGCCAAGGGTTAAAGTTCGTTTGGATAAAGAATGAATCTTTTGTTATTTGAATAAGGAAAATCTTGGTTAAGTGTAATACTTAAGGAAAAATGTTTTGACATTTTATTAATTAGAAAATCAGCCAATTATAAATTGATTTGTATTTCAGGTCTTATAAATCTTCCTAAAAGGGGGTATTCTTGTCTTTTAAAAGAATAATGCTTGCAAGTAAATAGTTTTGTTTGGTTATCGTGCATTACTGCTTTGTCACTAGTTAATTTTGGTAATTTTTATTTAGGAAATTTGTGGAAATTTCATAAATTATTCTTGAAAATACTGCTTGTTTGTTTGTTTTTTTAAGTTTTTATCTGAGCTTGTATTTTTGGCATTCACCTTAATAGGGAAGACTTAGTACATTGAACATTCTTCTCTTTAGATTTTAGTTAATTGAGATTTTTACTTTATAGCATTTAATAGATGAGGTAGCCCAGGCTTCGAAAAAAATATAAAATTTAAATAATCTTTTTCTGATCATTTTGAGTCATAAATTCTGTTTGTGGTTTTTGAAATACATAAAACACTTGATAATATTTGCTTTTCATGTAATAACTTGAACCAAGAACAAAAAGCATAATATAACTTATATATATTATTTAATGGTTTCTAAGCTTTGAGTACCAACATTGTAATCTGATGAGTTAACGCCATGGAAGTTATAATCTTTGCAATCTTAAGTGGTCTTTGATAAACAGTTTTTCTGCTTTTTTAAAAGTTCAGGCTCTAGAATTAGGTTTGGTTTCATCTTTTTATATCTTTCATCTTTATGAAATATATACCTATGGGTATATATATGTATATTTGTATATCTTCATCTCTTTTGTGTCTTTCTGCTATATGGTTTTGTGACTTCTGGTAAGTTATTACAATTGACTAAGCTTCAGCTTTGCCTTTCAAAGTAGAAATAATGATACTAATGAGTAGTACAGTGCTTAGCACATAGTAAACGCTCACTTTAGGTTAGTTGTCACTTATTGCCTACAGTAATAACTAAGCAAATCTCTTCTTTTCATACTTTCTCTTGTGTTCCAGTAGTACCGTGAACAGGAAGCTATTCGTCTTTGCCTAAAACACTTCAGACAACACAACTATACAGAGGCCTTTGAATCGCTACAAAAAAAAACCAAGATTGCCCTGGAACATCCCATGTTAACAGATCTACATGATAAACTGGTGTTGAAGGGTGATTTTGATGCTTGTGAAGAATTGATTGAAAAAGCTGTAAATGGTATGTTATAAACATGTAAACTGTGTTTATTAGGGTGATTTCAAGTATATACAAGAAATAGTTTTTTGAAAAGAATATAATCTTATGCCAATTATTAGTTTACTTTTTTCCCCTCTTTTTACTCTGTAGAGATTGTTAGCTTGTTGAATTATGTGCTGCTTTTATATAAGGTAGGTCCATAATGATACTTGAAAAACAACAAAGAAACATATTTGAACTCACATATCTAAATCTAAATTGCCATCTTGGGAAACCATGGAAGCATGCAGTTGCATTTATGAATGCTAACATTGACTAGCACTAAACTGTTACAAAAAGGCTTTAAATGTTACCTTCTGTTTTGGAGGCCTATTGCTTTATGTATTTTTGTTGATAGAAAATTGCCATTTTTTTAACGGCATGATTTGGCATAATGGATAGTTGGGTATGTTAAAAAATGTTATTAGTAGAAAGTTATAATGAATAATGAATGAGGAGATTTGTACTGGAAACATCTTTGTGATATGGATGCTACGTAATTATTGATTTTTCTTGGATGGTTTTTCATCTGGTTTTGAAAGAAATGTGAATATTAGAACATGATATAATCTCCAAAGATAATTGTTTTGGAGGATGACATCTATTTGAATATTTAGGGCCTGGTATGTTTTATTATTTTTATTTTTATTTATTTATTTATTTTTAAAGATTTTATTTATTTGACAGAGAGAGACAGAGTGAGAGAGTGAACACAAGCGGGGGGAGTGGGAGAGGGAGAAGCAGGCTTCCCGCAGAGCAGGGACCCCGATGTGGGGCTCGATCCCAGGACCCTGGGATCATGACCTGAGCCAAAGGCAGACGCTTAATGACTAAGCCACCCAGGCGCCCCTGTTTTGTTATTTTTTAAAAGGATCTTTGTTGTTATTTTATGGAATGGTATTCTTTTAAAAAATAATCTCCCACAGTGACAAAGAACAGAATAGGTGTTGTGGTATAATAGAAAAAAATATATTGGGATGCCTGGGTAGCTCAGTCAGTTAAGCATCCAGCTCTTGGTTTCGGCTCAGGTCATGATCTCAGGGTCTTGAGATTGAGCCTGGCTTTGGACTCCCTGCTTAGCGGGAAGTTTGCTTAAGATTCTCTTCTTTGCTCCATCTGCCCCTCGCTCTGCTCAGACACATATGTGTGTGTGTGTATGTGTGTGTACACATTCTCTCTCAAATAAATAAATCTTAAAAAAATTTTTTTTTAATAGGGTGCCTGGGTGGCTCAGTTGATTAAGCGTCTGTCTTTGGCTCAGGTCATGATCCCAGAATCCTGGGATCGAGCCCTGCGTTGGACTCCCTGCTCAGTGGGGAAGTCTGCTTCTCCCTCTACCCCTGCCCCTCCCCCCTGCTCATGCACGCTCTCACTCTCTCTCTCTCTCAGATAAATAAATAAAAATCTTTAAAAAAAATTTTTTTAAATATTTGGTCTTTGTCTCCTAAAAGTCCTGAAATTTAGTGGAGGGATAAGAGTGTTTTTGTATGCTGAGATGACAGGTGGCTGGGGTCCCTAGATAGCTTCAGATTTCCAGAAAGACCAAACCCTGTGTGTAGAGGGCTGAAATTTTCAGCCCCACCACCCCAGCCCGATCTGCAGAGAGGGGAGAGGGGTCAGAGATTGAGTTCAACCACCAGTGGCCAGTGTTTTAATGAATCATCCCTAGGTAGTAGAGACTCAAAAAAAACAAAAACAAAAAACAAAAAAACCCCTAAACATTGAGGTGCCTGAAGAGGGCATAGAAAACACACACACACACACACTATCTCTCTCTCTCTTTCTCTGTCTCACTCACTGTGGTGAATTATTGAACCTGAGGGGGTTTGTGGGAACCCCAGATTTATAGGCAGTAAATAAGTACAGGTGGCCTGGGATTTGGGGTTGGCATCTGAAGTGGGGATAGTCTTTTGGGACTGAGCCCTTTAACGTAGAAGGATCTGACAGTAACTTCAGGTAGATAGTGTCAGAATTGAACTGTTGGATACCCAGTTGGTGTCAGAAAATTAGAGAAACAACTGGTGTGAGAAAAAACCCCACACATTTGGTATTAGAAGTATTGTGAATAAAAACAGCTTCGTGCTCAGTATAAAACTTGTGGAATGAAATTTGGTGATTTTTTTTTTAATAGAACAATAGACTTTCTCCATTCTCTGCTTTCATGTATTTTAATCTTATCTCTGTTATCATCCATTATTATTATGTGCTCATTTATCAAATAGGTTGAATATTTTACAACTGAAGAAAATGGAACCAGTACTGCCTTCTTTGAGTTTATAAATTTTAAATTAACTTAAAATGAATTGCTTCTGGCTCCATTGCTTTGTAATAACAAACCTGCCTCTCAGCCTTATACATTGTTACTGCTTATTTAATTGGTAATGATACTTGCAAATAAATGATTACTGTGTTTGAAATAGAGTAAACTGTGGAGTATAAATAAATAGAATATATATGATTATTAGTCTCTTCCCAAACCATTAAAATGCCACCAATGAAAGTATAAATGTATGTATGCCATTTCTAAGAATGAATTCTATATATTTTTTTAACCTAAAGATGAGGAAGTCACGAGTATTTTCATGGTTTGTTACTTTTGCTTCAGATATTTATTTTAAGGCATGTAATATTTTGTTAAGGTAAATAACAATGAGAACAACAAAAACCACTGGCAACTTTATGCTATTACTAGGCTAAAAACAGTTATATTTAAAAACTGTGTCTTTATCAATATACTCATTTAAGAGAAACTGTTAAAGTCATGTGCAACTTTGATATTACAGGGACTTAACTTACCTTTCTGGCTCTAGGAAGGGCCCAAGTTTTAGGGAAAATTGGTAATTACTCTATTCTTGAGACTTAGAACGCAGTCATATTTTTTGTACTCCTCAACTGGCTTGGAACAGTGTTTAGTTAATAAACATTCCTTCCAGGGTTGTTCAGTTTGCTGCTGACTTCACTGATGATGATTTGTTGGACAAATAAGGAAGTAAACACTGCAGAGTTTTTTGGCTTCTGCTCCACTAAAAACATAGCAGAGAAGGGCAAGAAGTTCCTGTTTGCTAAATAGGAAAGCTTAGGGAATCAAAAGCATCTTATAATGGAGGAAACAAAAATTATGTTTAGTGTATCTTAGTGTGTTCTTCAAATGTGAGTATTTGAGATATTTGAGAGAAAGTGTCTCTAATAGGCTTCCTATTTGTTAGAAACACCCCTACATTTATATTTAATTTCATTACAGATCCAATACCCCTGGACCAATTATTGCTACTTTCTCCCTGACAGTGCCGGGGGAAAAAGTAGAATCCAGTGATGATGGGCAAAAGTAATCACCTAGAACAGGAAGTATTCAAAGAAAACCTAACCTCCCTTTGCAGTGTTTATCTTATTTCTTCCTCTTTAAATTAAACTTCGCTTTTTTAAGATAAGGGAGGGATAAAGTTTAATAAAATGGTCCTAAAGTTTCAACTGGAGGTCTTTATCTCCTTCCCACTTTCCCTCCTCCTCTCCCTTTTCTCTCTTTCCCCCTTTAATCATTTCTTCTCACTCCATGGTTTATGTGATGGTTGTTAATTATGTGGCAGGCGTGTTTCCCTCTCAGCACTTTTTTTAAGTGAGATCTCGTCTTGTAGGAGTTACCTGTGTGGCAAGGTTTTTTTTTTTTTTTTAAGATTTTATTTATTTGACAGAGAGAAAGACAGCGAGAGAGGAACACAAGCAGGGGGAGTGGGAGAGGGAGAAGCAGACTCCCCACTGAGCAGGGAGCCCGATGTGGGGCTTGATCCCAGGACTCTGGGATCATGGCCTGAGTCGAAGGCAGTTGCTTAACAACTGAGCCACCCAGGCGCCCCTGTGGCAAGGTTTTAAACTACAGATTTAATATTGTTAATAGCAATAGGGCTGTTCATATTCTGTATATCTTCTTGAGTGAGCATTGGTAGTTTGCGTCTTTTAGGGAATATTCCCATTCCATCTAAATTGGTGAATTTATTGGCATAAAGTTGTTCATATCTTTATGACATCTTTATGTCATATCTTATTCTTGAAATTGGTGATTGTTGGTTTCTTTGTCTTTCTCTGGTTTTTTTTCTTCTATTTCATTGATTTCTACCTTTATCTTTATTATTTCCTTTTTTCTGCATAGTTCAGTTTTAATGAAATGAAATGAAAGCTGAGGCCATTAATTTGAGATCCTTTACTAATACAAGGATTTGGTGTTAAAGAGTTACCTTCTAAATGCCAACATGAGTTCACTCCTTGGTGAGTCAGAAACTGGACCAGGCTGAATTGTTGCATAGAGAAAACTTTCATTTGCAGCAGAGGAGATCACAGTGAATGACTTCCAAAGCTGTGACTCCCTGAGAGAGGGTGAATGGGTTCCTTTTGTTTAGGGTTAGGATGAATATTTAGATTGGGAAGCCTTGTCATCATATGTAGAGGCGAGCATAAGGTCACACACGTGCCTTAAAGAAACATGCCTACACATACATTGTATGTTATGTAAATGAAGCTGAGGCTCGGAGATTTTAGTATTATAATGAGGTAAAAGTAGTTGTTGTTCATTCCAGAGGTCACTCCATGGTCCTTCTGTGCAGGTGCAGGTTGGGGGTTTAGCTCAAAAGGTCTGGGTGGTCTGGGCCTGCGGGGGTCTTGTCAGGGCAGTCTCCATCACCTCAGGGGTGCTTTCAGGTTTCATTTACCTCAGTTAAGAGCTAAAGAGAAAAGAATAGCTTACGGAAAAATATAAGACAAAGGTTCGTGAGTACAAGCAGGTGGGCAGTGTCAGGTCTTGGGATCTAGTTGGTGACACAAACACTGCTAGCTGTATATGACAAATTTTGCTGTATATGACAAATTTTGCTGTGTTGTGTTTTCATTTCTGTTCAATTTAAAATATGTATGCATAATGACCAACCCTTTGCCTTGTTTTGTTCTCTTGTGCTTAATCGTTTGGCCAGGATATTTAGTACAAGGGTGAGATG